AGACACTACCTATCCTCCTGAAACACAAAGATATAACACAGTTAAACAAAGCTTTTCTAGCCTTCATATGGAGGGGTAAAAAGGCAAGGATATCGCTGCAAAAACTTTTTCTGCCAAGGGGTGAGGGAGGAATGGCTTTCCCAAACACAAGACTATATAATCTGAGTTGTCTACTTAGACACTCAGCTGATTGGATTGGATCCTCCTCCCACTACTCAAACTTCCACCTGGAAACAGAGATGGCACATCCCTGGAGACTTTCCAACCTTCTACATTGCCCCTTTTCTAAAATCCCCGTAACTCTAAGATCCAATGTTATTATTAGAGACACAGTAATTGCGTGGAGGGAGTCTCATAAAATGGTGAAAGCCAACCCGTACTTCTCCCAGTATGTGACCCTGAAAGGAAACCCATCATTCCCTCAGGGGGAGGAATATGACACTTTTACCAAATGGGAGACCAAGGGGATTACTAAATTCGCACAGCTCTTATCCCCGGACACAGGTAGGAGATTAACGTTCCAGGATTTCAGGAGGACATACCAGAGACCCGCACATGAGTTCCTACACTTCCTACAGGCGACAACTCATCTAGATAAGCTTGGCTCCACTGCATATACAGTAACCAATCATTCTCTCATTGGCAAGATCACGACCACAGACAGGCAGTCTATATCGAACATCTACTCTCACCTGAGACAGACATACATCCCCCCTTTGACAAGCTCTAATTTGTCAAAATGGCAAAACGACATTCCCAGTGAAGACTTGGTAGAGAAAATCCTGGTGGGGTACCGCTCTATTTGTAAGGCAATGGTGAACGAGCAATGGAGAGAGACTCAATTTAAGATAATACATAGAGCTTATTATGCATTCCAATTACAGCGCACACCCATTCATGACCCAGGATATCTGAAGCACTGTCCCAAATGTCAAATGCCGGCTGCTCCACTATTCCACTGCCTGTGGCTCTGCCCCTCCATTCAGAATTACTGGAGAACGGCGATAGCATTTATGACCTCGGTGGTGGGTCAACAGATTGCGCTCGACCCCCTTCTACTTCTATTCGGATATTGGGACCTTCCTCTGGCGGTGAGCAAACACCACAGGCAATGGATAAATATAGCCTCCCTAGCAGCCAAACGCTGTATTATGAAAGAGTGGCTCTCCCCAAGCCCTCCCACCATACAGGGTTTACGACAGAATCTTCTGGAGCTTCTCCATGTGGAAAAACTGGATGCTGAGACCCAAAGGGAGGAGGATAACAGAGTGACTTTCTTTCTCAATAGATGGATGTCCTTTATAGACAGGATTTTTACTGCTCAAGAAAGGGAGTCATTCTTGTCCCCCTTTCAATACTCTACATACATGTTACGGTCTACGTTAGGGGGAAATACATGATATTCATCAAGCTTAAAAAAAAAATAAAAAAAATTCCAAGAACAAGATACCAAAGACACATGTGAACCGTAGAGGTAGGACAATATATGTAAGACATGACACAAAGTAATCTAATAGGTAACAATTTGATATGTTTAAACAAGAAAAAGAAAAAAAGAAGAACTGGTCAAAGCCTTGTTAATACAGCTGTTGCATAACGCACTATGCTTTTGTTATGTATCTCATACTGGTCTGAGGCATCTGCGTATGCACTGTTTTTGTTTCTTGTTGTTTTACTTCTGACAATAAAATTGTTTTAAAAAAAAAGAATTCTTATATTTTATACTCTTTGGTTTAGTGACCATAGTAAGGGCATTATGTATGTACTGATGTCAGAAATACCATACATTATAGTTAATAAATGGTGAGTACAGCTTGGCTTGGTGGTGGGAATTGCAGGCACAATCTAAACAGTGAACTTTTTTTAGCAGATAAGCATATAGACAACCTGACATGTACAGTATGTGTATGCATAGAGGATAGAGGAGGCAAGCCCTCCAGTGCAATATGATCATCGGGGGTGTCTTCTCTAGCCTGAAGGAAGTCATTATGGAATGTTATTGTTTGGCATTAACAGTTCGACAAAATATTTTTGATTTCAGGGTCTTCTGATGTCAATGTAATAGAAACAAAAATGCTCAGGTAGCTGAAATTGCAGCTTGAGCTATGGAGCCTGTACACAGATGGCTGGCTAAAGAGTCTAAAGTTCTACTTATGGGCTTAGAAAGAAAATACAAACATTTATATGCAATTTTTCATATTTACCTAAAAATATTTTTTTTTTATGTTGATCATAATAAATGAAAGAAATGAACCACATTCAAATCTACTAAACATTCATTGTAACCTTCAAGTCTAAATACAAGAATAAAAAATGTAATACACTGCTGGTTACTAGTCTTTAGACGTGTTATCTGCATTTGTTTTCTTCTTTCCACCTGGTGGTCCTGCCAGTAACACACTAACTACCCAAGAGTGAGAACACTCACTCACTGTACTGTATCTATAGAGGAACAGTGTTGTCACCCTGAGGCTCAATTTACACTCCGCGATATGCAAATCGCGTGTTTGTCACGCGATTTGCATTTTGCGCGATATCGTGAGATTTGCCGCGCGATATCGCGCAAATGCTTGCATTGAAAGCATTTGAATTGCGGCAAAATCCGCTCCAAAAAGGGTCCTGCTGTAGCAACACACGACCCGCGACAGCAGGACCCTTTACCCCATTGAGATGCATTGGAGAGCGATATCGCGCGGTAATTTGCCACGATATCGCGGGAATTACCGTGCGATAAATCGCTCAATGTGAACGGGGCCTAAGGCAGGAAGTCTATTAACACTATGGACACCTCCCACTCTACTTGTGTTCATAGCATGGGGGCGAGGTGTTCTGCAGGCAAAAACATTAATTAAGATTTCAGTTCAGCACACAGGAAGTTACAAGGATACTTGATTTCTTGCAGGCCAAACTGATTTTTTTTGTACTTACAAAAAAATGTACTTAGTTTTAAAAGAGAAATAAAATTCAGCTGCTACACCTAAACACTTGTAAACTGCAATATATAATTTTTTTGTTCTTGGGTTTAGATATACTTTAATTTATGTTACAGTGTTCTCGTCTCCGTTTATCCTGTCCTGGAATGTTGATGAGCTCCCAACATCATCATATACAGTAAAGAACCATCAGTGAGCACTGGTCTTGCAATGTAAACACTGACATTGCTAAGAGGAGAGGCTACATATCGGCCAGAGGGAACTGGAGGCCCATCCATATGTTGAAGGCCCATCCATATTCCTGGGATGAGAGAGAAGACTGGTGCACCAGCTGTGGTGGGACCATGGAGTATCATAAATATTCCTGTTCATAAGATTCCCACTAGACAAAGCAAGCATTAAATACTACATATGCTGGGTGGGGACACCCCCACATTAAATTTTTTGGCCAGCCTGGAATTGGGCTTTAAAACATTAACATAGATTGACAGGAAACACACACACAGACTGTAAATTAAGTCTCCCTTCTGTAAAAAGTTGATATACAGTAACTATATTTTACTACTATCACTCAAGCCATTTTGTTTTTAGTGTTGTACCTTTCCAAGAACAGTCTATGAAGTCCTGTGGACAGTTCTCATCCAGAACATCTCGGTGCGACTTCACTGTCTCCCTCACAAACTCCCTCAACTTTTCAAAATTGGTGAAAATTTTCTGATGGGGTCCAGGAACCTTGCTCAGCAAATTGGGAAACATGTTAAGAATCTAAAAGAAATAAAAACAAATATTTTATTAGATTGTTAGACTCTCACCTTCATAAAATTACCTATTATGCAGTTTGTAGCAATTTGTCATTCCTTTTGGGTTTTGCATGATGTCTTTTTCCAAAAGGTTAGGATCAAACTTTGACAAGCAGAAGAAACACTCCGAACGGTGTAGTGCACTAAAAACAAACAACAAAGCAGCTAGCTATGCTACTGCTATAAAGTTACAGTATAGCATAGAGACTCCACACTACATGTTTCGGCTAGTCAGGCTTCTTCAGGGACTTGTAGATTCAAGTTGGTTACACAATTAAGCACTGATTGATAATATATTGGGCATATGTGAAATGTGTGCACTTTTGAACAGCTGGCAGCTCCAGATTCTTAACTGGATTTTCCGTTGATGGTTAGCATTTTTTTAACACAACACTGCTGAATGATTAGTTCATTTTCTGTAAAGGTGCTCTGTCCAAAATTGGATGTATTAGCCACCAGTCATCTCATACTTATGGATTCCTTTTGTCTTCAAACCAATGAACATCACAGGTTTATACACTTTTATGGAAAACACATTGCAGCTATTAAAAGTCTGTGCATTGCTTTTGAATATTTACCTGGCCAGCCCGGGAGTTCAGTCCCCTGAAAGTTTCTCTAATGTATTCAAGGAGGGTCATAAATTTCTTGTCCTCATAGTCAAATCTCTTCCCAAACACAATGGAACAAATAATGTTGGATGCAGCCAATCCCAGCAGATATGTTGGGTCAACGGGGGTATCTGTTGACAGAGACAGAAAGACAATTGAAGGGCTATCACTATACAGCATTGAACAGAATTAGATAAACAGTTAAGTGTGTGTGTGCAATAACAAAACAAACTGACAGGTGTTTCAATCCTTCTCCACTCTATCTAAAATTTAAGAAAAAGTTTGGGCTTTAGTTTTATATTAAAACAAATATTTTTGCTAAAAGTTTCAAGAAGGGTAATGGATGAGAATGGCACATTAATTATTATAGTCACTTACCTTTGTTCTCTGAGAATTTTTCTGTCAGATACTGGGCCTCTTCCTGGATCCTTTCCTCAATGCTTCTCTTCCCCATTCCAAAATTCCGCAGGGTCATTAGAGAGAAGCGTCTCATGGCCTTCCACCTTTCTCCATTACTCATGACAATCCCTTGAACATAAAACTGCTTAGTCAGGACAACTCAAACAACTAAACTATAGTGCCAGTAGGTGGTGACCACCAAGCCTGTGCAGCATCATAGCATGGTGGCTGCATTGAAATGGTTAAACAGATCTCCCTTGCTCTATTGTCCGGAGAAATAAACTAAACTCTCATGTCACAACCATCTCTTACCATGTTTCCACTATGCAGAAAAGCACTATAATTGCATTACATTTTTTAGGATGCTTTTTATTAAAGTTTTGAATTGCAATACAGACAAGTATAATAAACTAACCAATGAGTGCAATACCAGTTTGTGCTGTGTTATATTTTATTCTGAGTGTTACTGTAGTATAAAATATAAAATAATAATATATACATAATAAACAAACGTTCTAAACCTTACATACATTTTGGACATAAATTAATGTCTGCTTGTAGAATCATGGGTATGTGAGACTAGAGTCATTTAATTATATCCACATAAATATTGTTGGGAAGTGAGGGTATCCTTGGAAGGATAAGCCTTTTACTGATATATATACAGTCCCTTGTGCACATATTCACCCCCTTGGTGTTTTTTTCTGGTTTATTTTGGATATTTTTTATAATCCTCCCCTGATCTATACTTCTTCACAACTTTGTCTCTGACCTGTTTTGAGAGTTCCTTGGTCTTCATGTTGCTTGCTTAGTGGTGTTGCAGACTCGGGAGCCTTTAAGAACAGGTGTATTTATGCTGACATCATATGACAGAGCACATGCAAATTATGGGACTTCTGAAGTTAAATGGTTGGCCCACATCTTATTTAGGGGGTTTGAAAGCAAAACAGGGAATCTGCGTGACGTTAATCAATTAATATTTTCTAAGGGTTTCATTTATATATGCCAGGCTGATGCCATTGACATGGCACTAGCACCCCTAGATGGTACTGATGAGTACATTCATTGTCTTTAGTTTTATAATTTAAGCCCTTAATGTGTATGTGTAGTAGCCAAAATGTATTTGTCGGTTTTGGAAGGAGTAGGGAAAGGTTAAAATCCCTAGCAAGTTTTTTTTTGGTTTGTTTTTGCTGTCTGTGTCCTACTGGGAAGATTTCCCTTCACTTCCCATCCTGTAGACATGAGAAGTGAGAGGATATCCCCTTTTAGACAGTTGTCATCAGAACATTTGTCCGCATTGGGGTATATGGCCTCACTTCTTGATTTCATGACAACTCTAAAGTTTTGGATTTCCCCTCACTTTCTGTCCTGCTGATAATGGTTAACAGGACAAATAGAGGGTTGTAGCTCACCAGAGTGGACACAAACAGTAATAAAAACTTGTCAGAGGGTCTAACCCTTCCTAATCTACCCAGGATTCTCACACTCCCTCTTACAAGCTCATAGTAATGTTATCGCTTTCTTGCAGCTATTATTTTTTATTATTATTATTATTATACAGGATTTTTATAGCGTCAGTTTGCGCAGCGCTTTACAATATAAGGAAGACATTACAATCACAATACAAATCAAGACAAGATGGTAAGTTGAATTGTTTCTTTTTTCTGTATCACAGAAAATCCAACAAGACAGTTACATCCATAGTCTCCTTAACCAAGAGTCAAGGTTAGAAATTATTTTTTAAAATAAACAATGTTGTCTTGGAAAAAGCAACTTACATTGTGCAAAATCCAAACTTCACTTATTTTTCAGCAACCTAAAATCGGATAGATTTCGGTTACTGCACATCACATTGCATTCTCCAGATCATATTTAATAGCCCATTGTGTCCTTTAAGATAGACTTGATGTGCTGGTCTAACAGTATATTGTATTTAGCCACCTACCGGATCGTCTGAACAATAAGCTGAACAGGTCCATATCTCCTCTATTACCGAATGCATCACTGTGTTCAACCAATGCCTCCTTCACCGTTTTGTACCCAACCAATATAACTACAGGAATGCTGGTCAAATAGCAAGTGTACACAGGTCCATAGGTTTCACTCATCTGAAAGGTTGTGACAGAATATGGTGTGCTCAGGTGGAATGAACAAGAAATGCAAACAAAAAATTAGAAAATGCTGTAAAAATGATTGGTACTTAACTGTGTATGAAGATAAAGTTAGCAGAAAAAAAGATTCAAAATTAATAATTTGCTTAAAAGCCGAGACCACTGATAGAGGTCATAATAAATAATATTGCGTAGACCCAGATAGTCTACAAAATACATATCAGGGTCCAGCAACCTGCATACCCAGATGGGCACTCAATATGTTTTTCAGAGGCACCTGAAAGTCCTGCCATAGGCTGTAATTGACAGCTCACTAGGCTGTTGATTCCATAGCCTGCCCTGCCCTTCTGCACCCATGGCCCATTGAGTTTCAGGTGCCTGCCCTCTTCCCAATGTTAACATAGGCCAATTGGTGGCTGCAGACATCAGTTTATGATCTAAAGAAGCCAGTCTGCCTACTCTCTTCTTCCTATATGTGGAACCACCATCTGCAGCAGATATTCATATAAAAATATAAAAGTGTTTCTGATGGTGCAGGATTTGGGTCTGTTCTGAAGTATGAAGGTGCATTAATTGGTGCTGATCTGAGGTCTGAAAGTGCAGGATTTGGGACCGATCTGAATGTGCAGGAATTGGGGCTGATCTATGGTCTGTTCTGAAGGATGAAGGTGCTTTAATTGGGGCTGATTTGAGGTTTGAAGTTGCTTTCATTGGGGCTCATTTGAGGTGTGAAGGTGCAATAAATGGGGCTGATCTGATGTCTGAAGGTTAAGGAATTGAGGTTGATCTATGGTCTTTTCTGAAGTCTGAAGGTGTTTTAATTGGGGCTGATTTGAGGTCTGTAGGTACAGGAATTGGGGCTGATCTTATGTCTGAGGGTGCAGGAAGTGGGGCTGATCTGAGGTCTGAAGGTGTAGGAATTGGGGCAATCTGAAGTCTGAAAATGCAGGAATTGGTCCTCTTCATGGGGCTGATCTGAGGTCTGAAGGCCCTACTGTTCACCGGCATTCCATTTGTCTAATGCTTGTAAACTGACACTTAATGTGGAGTATGTTGCTGACCCCTGAGATATATATCACTCTACATTTCCAAACTGTAACAGGGGGGAATTTAAAGAGGTAAAAAGAAACATATATTGCTGACTTGTTTAAAAGTTGTAAATCTGTAAACACAAACAACCTCATTTAAAATACATTTTCCAGATCTTTTCCCAGGACTCCATTGGTCAGTGGAAATGAAAAAGCCAGCTCATAGGCTGAATCCTTTTTATAAATATCTCTGCACGAAAAACGATAGTAGCTGAACCACGGAATCTCCATTTATCCATAAACGTAGTAAATACATTAAATAATTAAAGGTTAAAACATTAAAAATCATTTAACAATTTTATACGAAAAAAACTTGCTAGCACTTTAAGCCATTTTTGTCTGATTGGGCAAATTCACATTCACTTCTTGTCCTGAGCACACAGAAGGAAGTGAGAAGAAACCTCCCTAAAGTGAGGAAAATGCCCTTTGAAACAGTTGTCACCAGAAGTGGATGAATTCCTGAATGGAAGATTTCCTTTCTATTCCTATTCTAGTGACAACTCAAAATTTTAAATTTCCCATTTCTGTTAGTCCCAATGACAATGATCACCAGGACAGAAAGAGAGGGCACATCTCCCTAAAAGGGACACAAAAAGCAACAAAAACTTAGCAGAGACTCTACCACTTTATTTAAAACGAAGGGATTGATTTAGAAATGTTCTGCCCAGCGCCATTTGCTCAGCACTATTGCCTTTATATGGTGCAGAAGAGCATTTGTAAATTGGTCCCTAAATGTTTGGGCTTTAGGTGCATTTTAAGAAAAACAAAAAAAGGACTGTAACAATGTTTGCGGTACCCTTTTTCATGTGTATACCTGTTTATTTTTCTTTTAGAATTTTATACTACCAACCAGTGGCGTAACAACCGGGGGTGCAGCAGGGGCGCGGGCCCCGGGCGAAAAGTGAAGGGGGGGCGCCGGCCGAAAATAGCACTTTCGGCTAAATGCCGAAAGTGACATTTTCCTGCCGTTTTGCCGGCGCGGCCGTGATTCCTTTCAAAACTAACGATTTCAGCTCTTTCATGGTTCCTGCATGATACATTCACCAATGGTATGGTTTACACCATTTAAAAAACTCAAGAAAAACTTTTCCCTGTAAGCAGTGAAGTAACTTACCTTTATCAAAGCTTTAGGGGTTTCTGTGGTGCTGAGCTGCATTATGTTCCCCAGCAGGGGCAGAGGTGTAGGACCTGGAGGGAGATTCCTGTGCTTTATCCTTCTCCACCATGTAATCAGATAAATTAGAAGAGTGACGGTGGTAATCAGAAAAAGGGTGATGCCTATTTCCAGCGCCATCCTAAAGGCAACTAATTCTCAGAGAGATCTGAGTGCGGAATATATACTTGCCTGTCTGAGCTTTGAACATTGGCTACATTCCAACTGAACACGTGCATTATATAGACATTATGGGTGTGGTATGAAATAGGAGATAGTTCTTAGTGATAAAGCTTTATTATGCAATGCTGTGTAACTGTATGGGGATCTGCTACCATAAATAGAAAAAAAAAAATAGGCCAAAAGGAAACTGTTCACACGGCTAAACCAGAAATGTAGTAATAGCAGTAAGGGCCTTGTCATTCAATGTTGTAGCAGTGATTATGCATTTGAATTTATATATGAAAATTTTAGACTCTACAGCCACTCAAAATGATTTAATTTGCCCAATGGCAAGCTTAAAATCACTGCAATATATTACAATAAAACATATACTGCAAAAAATATATAATTAAGGTTGCCACCTTCCAGCCATAGTATGACACTATGGTTGATGTTGCATGGTGGGTATTTCAACGAGGGACAGCAAACATCTTATAATTTCGAGCTCTTGAAGCGTTGGTGTTGGGTTCTGGGGTGATTTCTAGGTCCTTCTTGTCCACTGTAGGTTTTAAAGTAAATCTTTGCAGTATAGTAGTAAAAAACAAGAAGAGCTCCATACGAGCCAGCCCTTCTCCTGCACACATGCGTTTTCCTAGAGAGAATGGACAAAAAAAAACAGCTTTACAATACAATTATAAGGCCAACCTGTAGGTCAAAATGCTGTGTGTCAGTAACTCGGTTCTCAGGAACACCTAATTCTAGGCTTCTGATGCTACAGGCAAGAGCTCTACAACTCCATACATCAGGGTTTCTTTTCACACTCTGTGAATACACTGTAGCCCCCATCACCTGTTGTGAGGGATCTATTAGAAATGTAGTGATTGGCAGAGCTGTAGTCAGCCTTGCTGGATTATAGTTGGCATTTATTTGGTTAATTCCAGGTGTCTAGCATTGACTGCATCTACCTGGGTGGAGTCTGAATTTGTTATAGTGTGGGACGGCCAATGAGGGGCACTGTGGGTATATGTGCAATTCACCAGCCAATCACTAGGTTTCTCTCAACCAGTGTTGCATGCTGGGATAGGCTACATATACTGGAGGGAATTGCCATGGCTCAGTCTTGTCTTGTGCCAGCCATGGATTAGCCCAGGGCTGGGTGCTGTCCAGCCGCCCCCCAGGCTAGGCCTGAGGGTCGGGATGCTGGAGTGCGGGAAGTGTTTTACTAGGCCTTAATTAGGAGGCCTGTTCTGTTGCTAGAGGAGGAGAATCAGAAAAGCTGATGGCTGCTGGAGGTACCTGGAACACAGTGGACCTCAGGAGCAAGTCTGGTGTCTCTCCTGCTCAGGATTTGTACTCATCCCTGCTCATCTGTTACTCAAATTCTTATTTGACGAGCTATAAATGGATCTACACTGAGATGCTAAAAACAGTCTGGTGAGTCTGGAGCCTTTGTCTGTACTACCCTGGGTGTCTAGGATCCCTATACCCTCTCTTCCCCGTGTGAAGATGTTAATAACAAATATTCACCATTATACTACTGGAGTGGATATCAGCGTTGTGGGCACTAAAAGAGGGTGGTTAAATGCTAATGGGGCAGCTGAAGACCAAAACCCCCAAGACAACTAGTGATGACCCGGGTTATTCTAGTGGCTCCTTCAGGGGTGAGCGCTACAGGGAGTCCATCATGTCTGCCCAATATTATTATTTGTTTTACATGTTTGTACCATTTTGTAACTTAACAATGAACATCTTTGGAGGGGGAAATTATTTGCAGCCATGACATGAGCCCAGTGCAGTCTCCCGATTGTAGGGCAGCTGCATAACACAGAATGATTGGCATAAGGCTGCAGTCCTGTCCACAGAGTTTCCCATATCACTGCATTGTTGGACTGAAGAAAACTAAATGAAGCTTCAAAAAGCAAAAATCAAAGCAAATTAATAGATGTCTTAGTGAGTGTTGAGCCTCTGGCATTCACTTGGATACCTATTCATATTATATGAATTATTATATTATATTCCTATTCATAACATGTTATAATGGGCAGGGTATGTTGTAGGGGCCTGGTTTTAATTGCTTTATGGGTAAGGGTCACTATGTATGTGCCTTAAGTAGGTTTTAGTATCCGTAGAAGAGAATTCAGCTTTAATCATCACACAGTTCTCTGTTACCTGCAGAAAATGGCATGAAGGCATCATTCTTCTTGAAGGCCCCATTCTCGTCAAGAAAGTGTCCCGGGTCAAACTGATTTGGGTTCTTAAAAAAATGAGGGTCTTTCAAGACAGATGTTAACACAACAGCCACCAAAGTGTCCTGAAATGAAAATAAAAATAAAAAGCTAAATTATTGCCTTTGATTTTTCTTTGGAAATATTTAAAATTGTGTTGATCTGTAAATTAGCCCTGGCAGCCTGTGATCCTCTGCATTAAATACTGAGGTGACATTTACAGCAATCAAGCAGATCATTACTTTTATTTTCCAACCTACATTAGAGCTATAAGAGTTAGAACTAAACTGGTTATTGTCAACAATACAAACAATCAGAAATACAAAGAGGGTTATTCACAAAAGGGTGAAGGGTTTGGAGAAGGCCGGAGGAGGGAACAATCTAGGCTAAAATAGCTGATTTGAAAAAATACTCTAATTCAGCTCACTTTCCAGTTCAGCTATGCTGTCCTAGATTGCTCACTTGTCCTGCCTTCTCCAAACTCTTCACCACTGTGTGAATAACCCTGAAAGTAACTCCTGCTACTCATAGCTACCAGTGCTATGAAGTGAACCTTGAAACTGTACAATATTCAAACTCTCTGTTTCCTGCAGAGATTAAAGCAGAACTATGGGGTTCAGGCTTTTCCCCATAGTTCTCCCTAGGGTAATGGGAGGACACAAACTAGCCTCCTCCCATCACCCTAAGCTCAGTATACCGCGAGCCATAACTCGCGGTATACTGAGACGCCGCAGCTGAAACGGATCCCAACAATTATGTCTGGATCTGCCCAGCTGCGTGCGTGACAGCTGGCTCTGCCTATCTAGATGCAGAGCCAGCTGTACCCGTCCGTTCCGCCAGTCAGCGCTGGAGGATCTGAGCGGGGAGGGGGGAATCCAGCCCCTCCCATGTCACGGCAGAGAGCCGTGACAGGATCGAGAAGTGAGCGAACGCCGGTATGTGTTCGCTCACTTCCCAATCTACTGAGCCAACCTGTGACAGTCTCATTGTCACAGATCGGCTAAAACTATGAGGTGAGTGAAAAGAACTCACCTCATAGTTCTCCTGAGACACCGCAGCTGAAGCGGATCCCAACAATTGGGTTTCTTGTAAAAATTAAATGTTGGCCCTGACCCTATAAAAAAAAAAAAATGATACACTACTTGATTCCTCTTCATAGGAGTATTAAAACCCCTGACGAGAAGACACAGTAAGAGGCAATTAGCCATTATCTAGAATAAAGTAGTAGGGAAAGGGAGAAGAGGGGGGAAGGAACATCAAGGGAACCAGGGCAGGTCAAAGAGGAGGAATAATTGATCGATGGTGTAGCGCTATAAGCCTCATGATATGATTACCAGAAACACAGTGTTGTGAAAAATTAAATCAATAAATAAATAAAACCTTTACATGTGTTGGTCTTCTCTCTAAACAACGTATCAATGTGTGATGTATATCTGTGTGGACACTGTGTAACAAATGAAAATGTAAACAATGTGAATCTCTCTTAAAAGAGAGGGGTATAACATGATGAACTAAGTGGTTAAAACGAATACATAATGTGAGTGTGTGTATTAAAAACTCACAGTCATAAGCTAGAATAATGTGAATCAAACCACTAGTATTAGATGTTAAAAACAAATATATGGATACAACTATAAATATATAAAAAATATATAAAAATATATAAAATTGATGGTGTATCATAAACAATGAAAGACTAATACTAGTGGTTTGACTCACATTATTCTAGCTTATGACTGTGGGTTTTTAATACACACACTCACATTATGTATTCATTTTAACCACTTAGTTCATCATGGTATACCACTCTCTTTTAAGAGAGATTCACATTGTTTAAATTTTCATTTGTTACACAGTGTCCACACAGATATACATCACACATTGATACGTTGTTTAGACAGAAGACCAACACATGTAAAGGTTTTATTTATTTATTGATTTCATTTTTCACAACACTGTGTTTTCTGGTAATCATACCGTGAGGCTTATAGCGCTACACCATCGATCAATTAACCATTTGAGGCTTAGGGCCTGAGTTTAGCGGCTTCTAGCTAGTCCGGTTTTTCTTCTTTTTCTTCCTTTTTTCCGGTAGCGCAGATCATCCGTTTTTCATTTCAAAGAGGAGGAATGAATAAAGAGAAGGAGAACCACAGGAATGTAGGGAACTGAGGAGTACAAACAGAGAAGACGCCATCTAGTGCTGAAAACTAAACATAATAATTAGAACCTTATAACAGAGAACAATAGATCTGCAAATATCAACAATTTGTCACTATATGATCACTAGAATTCCTAAGAGGGTAACGTAGAAGCAGTGGCGGACCTAAGGAACAAATGTCCCTGGTGCAAGACTTTTTTTTGGGCCCCCCTCCAAAAAAAAGAAAACACACAAACACAGCGCTCGGCCGGCTTTCACTTTCTCTCCTCCCCGCTGGGACACAGAGCAGCGCCAACCGGGGAGGAAAGAAAGCGGGATGCGTTGCTGTATCGGCAGAAACGGCCCTCTACAGTGCCTGTTTAGAGGGCCGTGTCTGCCTGATCCAGCCAGAATCGCATACTGGGGCACGTGCAGACAGGATCCAGGGAGTCCCTGGGGCGTTTGTCTTCAAATACGAGAGGCTTCAGCTCATCTGTCATCAGGATCCTGGGGGCCCCTAGGGCATCTGTCGCAGGATCCTGGGGGCCCCTAGCGCATCTGTCGCAGGATCCTGGGGGCCCCTAGGGAATTTGCTGCTAGAACCCTTGGGCCCCTAG